CTATGTGTATCTGGGCTGCAGTAGTATCACTCCATAGGGAATGGACTCCCAAAGTCCATTTGTGCACTAGGAATAAATACTGGTTCCACTGTTATAGGTCCCATAGACTGCCCAGGCCTCCTAACTGGCATCCACATTCAGAGGGTTTGGTTTGGTCCAGTGCTGCTTCCCCAGCTTTACGACTGGGGTCCCTGTTGGGGGAAGTCCTGTGCGTTTGTCAATAAAGTACTGTTGAGCCAATAGGAAACCTAGATAGGAGGAACTAGGAGTCGAGGAGGATTCTGGGAAGGAGAAACACAAGAGAGTCAAGATGTAATGCCATGGGGGTAGGAAGCCTGGAACCATTCTCCGGTAAGAGACATACTTAGATTAACAATTATGGGGTAATTACTTAAGTTAGAGCTAGCCAGTAAGAAGCAAGGCCAACAGCTTCATAATTAATATAGTCTCCTGTGTGTTTATTTGGGACTCATGCAACTCTAGAACCAGGCTGGTGGGAAAGCGGCTCTAGAACCAGGCTGGCAGAAAGGCTTCTCTCAAGGAAAAGACTTCTCATAACAGGTCCCTGTGCTCTCACTAGGTCAGGACAGCTGGTTATGTGGGTTCCTCCAGCATGGTCTTGACTCCTTTGCTCATCCTTCCTCCCTCTCTACAACTGGGTTCCAGGAGTATGGCTCAGTGCAAAAGCTAAATCTTTAAGCCCTATGAAGATTACCTATCTAAGGAATCACTAGAAAAAGGAAATGTCATGGATGGCCTGAATTAGAAAGATCATCCTGCTTCAGCCCCTAAACGTACTGTACTCACAGCCTGAGGCACGTGTCTGAGCTCACTGCTTCTCTCCTTTCTTAGTTCCATCCTTTGTCAAGTATCAGGCCAGGCAACGTGCTTTTTCCTAACTGTTCTTTGCAAGGATCTATCAATTCTTTGTAGTCTGGCTAATACTTACACATATGAATTTACTCTCTCGTGAATTGCATATAGGTCCACTTATCTCACATTATAGAATAAAATGATTATACCTTTTCCTGAAAAAATAAGTATGCAAAGAACATTAAGAACACTGGCCAAAGAAACGTCTTTGTAAATGATAGTGGTATCTCTGATTTTGAAAATTACCATAGTTCTTTTCTTTCCTGAAGTGGAGAAAGGGAGATAAGGAAAGATTGTTTGGTATGCTTTATCTTTTTAACTCCATGACTTGTGTGTATCAGGAAGTCGGATCTTTATTACCCCATGCGTCTACAGCTTATGTATTTGACTCTCTGCCCTTTTCATCATTATCACTTAGCCAGATACCAATTTCAGCTGCTTCTCGTCAGAGCAGCCTGGGAGTCAGAGGCAAGGCTTGCAGGCTCACTGCTCAGGGGAGAGGATGGATGACAGCTGCAGTGATGGCCTTTCCCAGTTACACATGATGACGTGGAAACAGACACCAGTTGTGACTGACAGTCAGTCGGGTGCCCTGTCAATCTACTTAAACATAAGTCATCTTTTTCAGCGAGTTAAGGAGATAGAAGGCTGGGGTGCCTACTAAGGAAGAGCTTCAGCTCTTCAGTCATAAGGTGCAGAAGTATGTGATGATAGTCATAATGACTGAAATCCTATTGGATCTTAAAGAAAATTTAGTATAGGGAAAAAATGCATGCTTTGTCTATATAAAAGCTAAAATCATCAAACTATATTATGCAAACTGCTTTACATTTATGCCTAATTATCTTGCAGCACAATAATAATTACAAGATTATTCTGATCAGATTAACTTCGGCCAGAATAATTATAACTCTGTATTCCAAATATTAGGCTTTGGAATTTACTGCTTTAAAACAATTAGTTACTGAGTCCTTTATTTGTCTGGCACCACATTGAGACTAAAATTATTCTCAGACCCACAGAATCAACTAGCAGGGCACACAGGTGCTCACAGAGACTGACGAGAAATCACAGGTCATGTGTGGGTCTAAGATAGGTCCTCTGCATATACACTACAGTTATACAGCTTAGTATTATGGTGGGACTCCTAATAGTGAGAGTGGGGGTATCTCTGCTGTTCTTTTTTCTGTGTTTGGGACCCTTTTCCTCTTACTGGGTTGCCTCATTCAGCTTTGATATGAGGGTTTGTACCTAGCATTATTATAATTTGTTATGTCATGTTAAGTTGGTATCCCTGGAAAGTCTGTTGTTTTTTGTTGTTGTTTTGTTTTGTTTTTTAAGGAAAACAGAGGAGACAATCTGAAAGACAGGGGATATGTGTGTGGAGGGGCTGGGAGGAATGGAGTATAGGTAAGGGAAACTGTGGTTGGGAGGTGATTTACATAAAGAATAAGGAATAAGCATAAGCATCTATTCTCCAGGATGCTTCCAGTCTTGAGAAAGAAAGGTAGAAACAGGTCAATGTCTAGCCACGCATACACCTTTTATTTACTTATTTATTTTGGTTTAAGAGACAAGGTTTCTCTGTGTAGCTCTTTCAGTCCTGGAAGTTACTCTGTAGAACAGGCTGGTCTTGAACTCAGATTCACCGGGCCCTGCTTCCCAAGTACTGGGATTAAAAGCATGTGTTCCTCACTGCCTGGCTCACCCTTTTAATAAAGGTAGAGATGTCATTAAAATATCACAATTAAGGCTTCAATAAAGGGTTAACAAAGCTGATTCCTGAAGAACCACTAGTTAGCCAGAAGGGAAGGTCAGAATGATTTAGAACTCTAAAACAAAATAAACAGGAAATGCATTGGCCTCGGATCTGAAAACTACTGAGACTGTGCGAGGTGCCGCTCCCTTGAAGTGCAGGGACATGGAGAGTCTCAGGACAGAGAAGGATAATGAAGGAAGAGAGTCAGGCTGAAGAATGCCCTTGACTATTAGGCTAAAGAGCTGGAAAGCCTTCTGCTAAGGAGGAAGCACTAACACCTTCCAGGATAACGAGGGTTCAGATATGCATTTCAGAGGTATTGTTTTGGCTTCACTCTGAAGAAGGAGGCGGTAGAGCTCACAGCTGCAGACCTATCAAGAGGCCAGCTGAAATCATTTCAGTGACAGACACTGTTGGCATCTAGGTTGGGCTGGGAAGAACTGAGAGAACTGGATGGAGCTGACAGATACCTAACAGTTACAACAGGAACATCATAGTGATTGATTGGATGTGGGAGAAAGGGGGTACTGCGAACGGCTTTCTGACACAGGCAAAGACAGAGACATGTTATTTACTAAGACAGAAAACAGGTAGATGGATAAGGCCTTGTTTTTGTTTTTTATTTTGTTGATTTGGGCAGTGGGTCTAATAAAGCATTAGAAATTGTGAGTTTTAACTAATTGAGACTTTCATGTCTAGAGATCTCTGGTAGGCTACAGAGTGCATAAGTCCAAGGCTAGGGAGAAATCTCAATTTAGATATGTATTTGAAATACAGCACTTTACATCATTTGAACCCATTACGAAGAATAATGATATTAACAACTTAAAGAAACACAAATTTTTGTGAGTTGAGCTAAAATTAAGAAAAATACAGAGAAGCTACAACCGCGAGTAAGGAGAAAAATCAAGAAAACATAGTCACACACGTCAACAGCAGAGAATATTCAAAGAGAGAGCAAGTAGTCAACAATGGAAACTGTAACAGACTATGGGATGGCATCATATATTCTGGAAGGCAATATTAAAGGTAATCAAGAAAAATGCTATAATGCCTGTCCACTGAGACAAGGGACAGTATACAAAAATGTTTTTCGAAGAGGAAGAAAACCTAATACAAGAGACTATTCCTCTTGAGTAGTTCACAGAAGCTGAGAATGAAGCAGATCTATACAGAGAATCTGAAATACTACAAATAAAAAGTACAAGAACATATGCACATAATAACACCTGCTATTTTTAATGTATTTTTTATCCATACTTACTTGTATACTTGATGCACAAGGTTGACAGGCATATAAACCAAACTTAAGTCCAATGGTTAGCTGTGTAAAGACAGCTGGTATGTGGTTGAGTGTGTGGTCAAGAGGCTTACATCACTGGATAGTTTTTACACTATCAGTATTTCCAGATATTATAAGCATATTTAAGAATACATTTGAATGGGCATGGTGGCTCATGCCAGTAATTAGAGCACTACAAAGACTGAGGCAGGAGGACTGAAAAGTGTTGGTAGCCAGGCTCGATTATAGAGCAAAATACTGTGACAAAAGCAAACAAAAATCCCTAAGAATGAGAAAGGGAAGAAAGAAGAAACAAAGAAAGGAATCTTAAAACCCTATCAAATCTGGGCAGGTGAGATGTGTCAGCAGGTAAAGGCATTTGCCATGCAAACCTGATGCTTTAGGATTAATACCTGAAATTATGGAGAAAGGAAGTAACTGACTTCTAAATATTGTTCAGTGATCTCCATACAAGCACTGTGCACCATGGTGTGCATGTCTGCACACACACACACACACACACACACACACACACACACACACACACACACACACGCACACGCACACGCACACACACGCACACGCACACGCACACGCACACACACACAATTATTATAATAAATAGAAGAAATAAAAATTCAAAAACCTGTCAAAATTATTTTAATAATAGACTGAGTAAAATTAAGATAGAAAAATATTCATTTAACAATTAGTAGACACTTAACAGCTTTAGTAAGAAAAGGTTTGTAAAAATGAAGCAAGACAAAAACAATACATGGAGATGAAATGGGGAGAAAGGCATTAAATAAAATAGAAAATCAAAGAAACTGGTAATTCGGTGGCAGAAATAACAAACAGTAAAGGATGTTTCATGTGGGGTGTCAAAGGAAAAGTTCTCCAGAAGCCTCAGTGCCTGCTTACTTCATGAAAGAGGGCCTGGGAATTTTTTGCTTGCAACCTTCCAGAGAATTAATCAGAACAGCATTAAGGTCGAAGCCGCTTTCCACTTGCCTGCCTGCCATGCTTGACTGCAGCTATTTAAATGACATCAGGAACCCAAATAAGCTTTGAATAAACAGTCCTCACCTTAAGAGTTCTAGCTGTAGGACAGGCAGACTGTTCCTTTGATGGATCCTACAGGCAGCCTTCTCAGAATCAGACGAGAACAGCCAGCTTCGATCGTTTGAACATGGAGCATCAACTAGCACCTAGAGAAAACAAACAATGCAAAAACACTTAGGATGAGGTACATGGAGCAGCTACACGACAAACAGCACATAAATAAAAACCACTGCCTTAGGGACCCAAACATATAGCATGCTAAATCCTTTGATATATTTGGCTCTGATAATTTACAGAAAGTTTTCCTATGCAGTGTTAATGTTTGTTTCAATGGAGAGAGGGAACATCACAAGCTGTCTATTAATGTCTATTTTTTGAATTTAATATTCTTTTCTCTTTTGGGTTTTCAGGTCAGGGTTTCTCTATGTAGCCCTGGCTGTCCTGGAACTCACTCTGTACACCACACTGGCCTCTAACCCAGAGATCCCCCTGCCTCTACTTTCAAAGGCATGTACTGTCTCGCCTGGCTGAATTTAATATTCTTGATGATTACAACTAAGACTTATAAAAGTTACTAATCTTCAGAAAACATAACTGTATTTCTGAACTCACAGTATTATTTTTACCCTACTAAAATTTTACATTGTTGGAGGCTGAACCCAGGGTCCAGTGTTTATTTTTACCTATTAGAAATTCAATTTTAATTTACTGAAATGGATTTTCTTCATCTATCATACTCTGATATGAAATGTTACTGAATTAAAGTAAAATGTACAAATGTTTTTTACTGGCTCAAACGATAACGTCATTTCCAGAGTTAACTTTGAGGTAGCAGAAAATAGAAAACATTCTATAATCCCTAAACCCAGTGTCGCTGTTTCCACTGAACCATACTAACCATCAAATGAAAAATGCCTCCACACCCACTCTATCACGATCCCCGAACACTGAGAAAGTATACCGTCTGGAAGCAGAAGGCAAAGAACAACAGAGAACACAAGACCGTATCACCGGGAGTCTGTCAGCCTTTCACAGTACAATAAAAGTACCTTGTCAAACGCTTCAGGCTGGGCATCTCCCATTTCTCGGCCGTCCAACTCCGACACTTTAATTGCATTTGTCAAAGTCGGTGGGATGAAAGATTCCAACGTCTGTCTCAGCCATCTCACTCTCAGACTATCATATTCGTTACAAAGAAGATAACCTAAATATAAAGGGTTAAAAAGTCCCAAGGTAGAAATATAATTGGGAAATTTTTACTTTGTAGCACACACACTTCAGAAACACCGTCCTTTGGAGTTAAATATAGAGATGGGCTCACAGGTAAGCATTATGATAACTTTAAACATTTATTCAATCGAGTTTAATTTGGGATGTGAAAACTTAAGAGATTCCTAGAGATGCTGTACAAACAATACCTCATGTATAATTTTCACCCTGACGTACCAGCTGTTGAGAGTAGGCAATGTATTCTGATAGGTGTGGAAAGTTCCTTGCTGGTACGGCGTCTTCATTTTAAATGAAGGAAAGTAACAACAGTGCCAAATAAAAATGGGCACGTATATAAGCTACCAGTAAGGAAAACACGAGTTTGAACTGTGAGCTGAGAGCCTAGGGAAGTCGTTTAACTCTGTGACAGCTGTGTTACCTTGTGGTGACTGGTAAAATGGGGATCATACTTGCACAGTGGTTGTTGTGACAGAAACAGGGAGCAAGATGGTGGCTGAAGAAGTGGTGGCCTCCCCACAGAGACATTGGTTTAAGGGCATGGGGAGTCAGGTGAGAGGTAGTGTCTGGTCTTCGCAGAGCAAGATGGTGGCTGAAGAAGTGGTGGCCTCCCCACAGAGACATTGGTTTAAAGGCATGGGGAGTCAGGTGAGAGGCAGTGTCTGGTCTTCGCAGAGTAAGAAGAGATGGACTGAAGAGAGCAGAAAAGAAAGTGGCATGCTTGTCTACACTCTCCACTTCCAGGCTGTGTGATGAGAGATTCCCCCTAGTTTGGAGACGGAAAAGGAATGAGGTGCAGACTTTGACTCGAAATGAGTAGCATAACCTGCCGCAATGGAACCCTGTGCCAGACAGTCTTACATAACAGTTCACAATGGAGCTGCCACACAGTCTTACAACTCTTACACCCAGGCTAGTTCTTGCAGGCTGCGACTGTATTTTCTCCTTAGCTAGGCAGTTAGACCCTGCCACCACCACTCCACCACCAACCTCAGGAAGCAGAACAAGAAGCGAGACTCCCAGCACTTGGAAGTCAGGCAGAAAACTGAACGTAGACTGTCACATGTAGATCCAAGTACCCTAGCCACAGGCCAGAGCTCAGACCTGCGTGGTGTCAGGTGAAGACTTTGACCTGTGGGACACACCTGTGTGTACAGCATCACTAAATACACGCTTGAGACTATTTGGGAACCTGTTGTTGTGAAACTCAGACATAACCTAGCTGAACATCAAGCCTGGGAGACCAGGGACTAACTCTACTACTCCTTCCACAACTATGGAGGACGCCGGCAAAAACAGGACTTAGCCATCCTCATGGTAGGTATAACAGAGAAGTCAGCATAGGGCTTTCCCTTAGAACTTCTAGTGTTAACAATATTATGACATATCCCTTACATTGAAAGAGACTTTCTTCAGCTGAACCTCACAGGCAAAGTGAATAATACACTTTGAGGTTACTTACGATGGCTATACTTATTGGGCAGTGGTGGACCTCCTATGTCATCATCTTTTATAATCTAGCTTTAATCTTAAAACAAATACACACAGCCCACAAGTAATGCGTATGTGTATATATGTTATGGTAGGTACTAAATGCTGAAAAAAAAAGCAAATAGGTGGAAGGAAACCTTGTAAAGTGAATATTCACAACAAATACTGAAAGTGTTGTGAATATAGGTTGATAAGTCTGTTTGCAATGATGCTTGTAGTATTGTTGTTACCCAAGTTAGCTGGCATCTGCTGGAGTCAGTAAAACCCTGTTAAAAAAAATTCAGTGTCTCTCATTCCTTCCTATGTGATGTTTTCTGTGCTGTTCAGATAAATACAGAGCAAAGCTCCTTCTTAGGGATACAGGCCCAAACACAGACACAAGGACAGCAGTCAGGCAAGCACAGATTCAGACACACATAACATACAGATTACAGACAGGAGAGATGCCATAGTAAGAGAGAAGTAGAGAATTCAGATCTGGGCTTGCTCTTGGTAAAACTACTCCAAGGGCAGTATTTTGATTTCTTCTCCTTAATGCCACACAGATGCATATGAAGTATGCTGAGATTGTTACTAATGTGTTAAAATTCATGCAAGAACCCAGTGCCAGGCTTGTACAACTAATATGGGGCAGATTCTAGCAATCCTCGTCTACAGGCCAATGCCTACAGACAGAGCTCCTAAACCTGCCCTAATGCCACCTTCAACTGAACTAGTAACCTAGCCAGCATCTCTTGTGGCTGGACACAGATGTTCTGGACTGTGTGTACATAAATCCACCTAAGGAACAGGTAGCGCATAGCAATGCAGGTCTTAGTGTCCCTGTGTTACAGGGTCTTGGTAGGCTGTACACTCTGTATAATCTAGGGTTGCAGTGTTTTTAACTGTGGAACTATCAACTCCATCTCCTCCCTGACTCCAGATGAATCAGAGGGAGTAGCTGACTATGACAAGGTCAGTAAAGGGAGGTACTGGGCTAGTGAGATGGTCAGTGAGTAAAGGAGTCTGCCACTAAGCCTGGAAACCTGAGCGCGAGCCATTCAGGCACAGAGGAAGGAGACGAGGAACTCAGCAAAGTTGAGCCCCAGGAACACACGCTGGGAGGAGACAATTGACTCCTGCAAGTTGCAATTTGACCTCTACAAGTGCGCCCTGACAAGAGTACATACGTGTGTGTCCTCAACACACACATACACATAAATCTATGGAAAGACACAAAGGTAGGTAGGGTAGGTAGGTGGGTGAGTGGGTAGGTAGGTAGGTAGGTAGGTAGGTAGGTAGATTGATTGGGGGGTGATTTTTTTTTAAGGAAAGAGAAGGGAGGTATACAACAAGCCACCAAGTAAGTGTGGCACAGTACCAGATATATTGTCTGACCACAGGCCAGTGACTGCAGCTGGGGCACATGGGCCTACTCCAGTCTTAGAGTAAGGTTTGTAATGACAAACTACTTCATTTGGGCACTGCTCTAGTTCATTCTGAACTATATGCCTACTGAAGATATGTGACAAAACGAGGCTTGGGGAATCAGGGAGCAGAACCAGCAGCTACAACAAGAAAAAAAAAAAAAAACCAATATTGGAACTGTGGTAAACCTAGACTCAGGGTGCCATCTAGTGCTAAGTACCAGAAAGGTCCACAGATGAAAGCAGATCTGAGAGAGCTGGCACAAACACAGTTAGATGACCAAAACCTCCTGTTTATGCGCAGACTATGTCATAGGTCAAGTATCAGAATACACAGAATAGTGACCAAGACTGATGGATAAAATAAGACAATAAACTGACTGTAAAACAAGCATCCCTGACTAACAGAAAGAGCTAAAAGCGGCACTTTTCGGGAAACTTGGTAAGCTTCAAAAACCCAGAGAAGCAACTTAATACCTAAGCAGAGAAATGACAAATTAAAGTGACTCTCAAAAACATCAAATATGTAAAAGCAATGTAAGGCAGCAACAGCAGAACAGAACAAACAACAACAACAAAATGCCAGCTGCCTTGAAATCAGATTATTTGGAAATACACTGTTGGAGAAAAAAGACGTAAATCCAAAGGGAGAGAGAAGAAGTAAGCCTGTGCAAATTGGGGGTTACCATTGAAAGAGCAAATTTATGAGTTACAGGGGTTCATGACGGAAGTGAGAATGCCAATGGGGTAGAACAGACTTCACGAGAAATCTCCCCAAATCTAGAAAAGGATACAGGAATCCAGATGCAGGGATGTCTCTGGTCCCATCATAGCCAATGATTCACATTGAGGTGCATTATGACTGAGCAATCAAAGGTTGAATAAAGAGATAATACTAAAAACAATAGAAATGAGGGAGTAGCTAACAGGGCAAATACAACTAGATGAAGAGTTCACTCTAATATTTCTTACTACCAAAGGTCAACCAGATGTCTAGACCTTACTGCTGGCAGCAAGGATAATGTCACTCTAGAAAGGCTACAGCCCTCCTGGAGAAGCCTGATCACGCCACTCCATTAAGCTGCGTCATCCCTGGCTGACAGTTCATGTTTTACTATTTATAATCATAACTATTTGGTTTTTTTCCAGTAAAAACCAGCACACTGCAAAACCTGTGTTAAGGATAACATTGAACATTTTAAACAGTCAGTTCATCACTGTGGTACAGGTGAGAGCAATGCCACATCTGTCTGGATCAGCAGACAGAAAAGCATACTAATTCTTTAATGACATTAAACCACTTTGTATTCCAAAGCCACGAGCCACATTGCCTAGAATAATGTCCAATGCAGATGTAAAAAAATTCAGTGCAGCCGGTCGGTGGTGGCACACGCCTTTAATCCCAGCACTCGGGAGGCAGAGGCAGGAGGATCTCTGTGAGTTCGAGGCCAGGCTGGACCGACAGCCTCCAAAACAATACATAGAAATCCTGTCTCGTAAAAACCAAAAAAAAAAAAAAATTCAGTGCATAAACTGCACATTTAGTGTGGCCTTCGTTTTAAGTTTTGCTTAAAGAAGCAGTGACTAGTATTCCTTCTGCATTCCACACTAGAATAGTGTGGATAACTTAATGTGTGCTTTAAACATCACCATGAAGACATCAGTGCCTTGGAGGAAACCATTATCACCATTATCATTAGTCTACTTCATGAAAAGCTACTTCATTTGGAACACTACTGGTAGTTCACTGCACTTGATGAAGACTTTTCCTATCTTCAGAGTCCTATAATATTATCAGGTTTATAACCTTTGGGTTCCCGAGCCATTATCATCCTCACTACAAATGTGTAAAATAGCCTACATATTAGGTGGTTTAAGATTAAAATGCAACTTGTTAAAATGGAACTAGGTTTAGATATTTCTCTCCCATCTTTTACAATATTAAACATTCTATGGTGAAATTAATAAGCTTGTAAGACTCAATATAGGAATACCATCAAGGAACACCGAAAGAGTAGGTGTAAAACAAATCTCCTTATAATAAATGATTTCACAAAAGTACAAACTATAAAACTAATAATGTAGCCTTACTAAAATACAGCCTTAGTATTTATCTTTATTTTTAAACCAAAATATAGAAAGCTTCTGCCACAGAGTTTTGTCAGAAATCTAAAACATACAGTGTTTTTTTCTTTTTTCCTCTTAAACAACAATATATTTGTACCACAGCCAAATACACCTGGCTTCACATTTTGAATATGTTTCCAAAATTTTTTCTTCCAACAGCAAATTTTCTCAAAGGAAGAAATAAATTAGCAGTCTATGAGCTGGAAGATGCATGACCTGGGGAAAAATAATACCTTTCTGAGAGACAGGCAAGCTTGGAGGATCTGAACAAATTACTTTTAGATCATCCGCTTCCCGAGGGTGTCTCCTTCCACATGGCAATTTACCAACTTTACAAACAAAAGCAAGCTTCTCACTCATATGTAATCTTAAGGAAATGTGCTAGGGTTCAGAAGCCTCCAGTACATCAACAAAGTACCGTTTGAAACGCTAAGAGGCTGGAGACAAGGCTCAGGGGGTAAGAGCTCTTGCTGCTCTTTCAAAGGTCTAAGAGTTCGAGTGTGCTCATCTGGTAGTCCACAGCTGCTTCCGTTGTAGTTGGTTATTTTTACTCTTTGGCTTTTTGAGAAGCCTTTTACCCAGCTCCCAAATGAATCACACAGAGGCGTATTATTACTTATAAAAGTCCAGCCTTAGCTTGACTTATGTCTAGGCAGCTTTTCTTAACTTACATTACCCTGTGTACCTTTGCTTCTGGGCTTTGTCTTTCTCTTATTTCTGTATATCTGACTTGCACTTACTCCATGGCTGGCTGTGTAGCCTGGTGGCTGGTCCCTGGAGTCCTCCGCTTTTCCCCCTTTTCTCAGTCCTCTCCTCCCAGATTTTTTTCTCCCATTTATTCTCTCTGCCTGCCAGCTTCACCTGTTCTTCCTCCTGCCTTGTTATTGACTGTTTAACTTTTTATTAGACCAGTCAGATATTTTAGACAGGCAAAGTATCACAGGTTAACAGAGTTAAGCGAATGCAACATAAAAGAATGCAAAACATCTTTGCATCATTAAAACAAATGTTCCACAGCATAAACAAATGTAACTGTAACACATCTTAAAATAATATTCCACAACACTCCATCTCCAGTTCCAGGCTATGCAAAGCTCCCTTCTGACCTCTTTGGGTACCTGTGTGTGTCTCTGTGTGTGTGTGTGTGTGTGTGTGTGTGTGTGTGTGTGTGTGTGTGTGTGTGTGTGTGTGTGATTTTACATGTATACAGACACATACACAGGCGCAGGCACATGCACACACCAAATTTTTTTTTAAAGAAAGAAAGAAAAAAGAAATCAGTGACTTTGCTGAAAGAGTGATGTGTTAACAACTAAGCAAGTAAATGAATGGGCTTCAAATTTACTTCTGAAAAGCTGAACGCATTTTAAAGAGTGCTCAGCTAACAAATCGTTGAATAATGCCTGCTGCACCTAGGAGTTTGCAACCATAACTCAGAAGGAATTTAACCAGTAGAGCATAGCTCTCAGTATTTCTGAGTTTTTTAATCTGTGTGAACAATAAATAAAAGATCATAAAACCTAACCAAACTGAACTAGAACTTAACTCTGCCTCATCCAGCAATAATTAACATTCAAAGAAAAATCAATTAGGATTTTAAAAGTTTAGCAAGATGATCATCCATTGAGATAGTTTTTGTGTGTACATGTGTGTATACATGTTCATGTGTGTGCACGCATGTGTGGCTGAGCAAGCATGTAGAGGGGGCAGAGGTTGACTTTGGGTATCTGTTGCTGTCCATAGTTCTCCACCACAGATCCAGGAAACTTCCTGGATCCCCTCAGTGCTAAGATTACAGGCACAAACCAGCATGCACAGCATTTTCCATGGCAAATACTATACTGACTGAGACAGATCCCCAGCCCCTGGACTTACACCAATATTAGCAACAACAATAAAGTCACTATAAAAGAACTTACTCCATTATTTAATACTATCTTCTCTTGTCACATGTTGTTATGAGAACGTATTCCATTGTTTAATACTATCTTCTCTTGTCACATGTGGTTATGAGGACCTGACCTGTGTTCAAAGATTAAAATAGCTAATTTCAAAGATGTCTAAGAAAATTGAAAGCGTAAAAATACCTCTTCAAACACCTTTATTGTGACTACGTGCTCAAGGGACACTATCTTAGTCCTCTGAAAAATGTCAAATTAATTTCACCCTTACTACTTTTTCAAATGAGAACACTCAAAACTTTTAGATTTTATATATGCTTTATAGTATATATCTACTGAACCAAGTGTGTTAGAACCACATGGTCTAACGAGTCACACAACAAAATAGTTTTAAATAGATTTCTGTGTGTTTGACCAAGAGCTCTGGCAATGGCATCCAGACAAACGTCTCAAGTATAAGGAGCTCAGTGGCAGAGGACTTACTTATCATGGGAGAAGCCCTGAGTTCCATCGCTAGTGAAACTAAGCACAAAAACCAAATGAAAATCTCAAACCCTACACAGTTAGCTTACGAGCATACTCTCATACTCTCTGAAAGGTCTGTGCTTCCAGAAACCTGGGGAACTATTATGCTCTTTACACTTACTTCCTCAGCTACATTTTTCATTCTTATTCACCTTAACCTAACTCATACTCGGACTTCCTAACTCTAGAGACTCATGCTCACATTTCTCTTCATGTATTTTCAAAGTACGTGAAACCCTCCGATGGGAGCAAATGTGAGGTGTGGAGAGCACGGACAGTACCTGGATACGCACACTGCAGCAGAGCTATCGATTTGCCTCCAGGAGCAGCACACAAGTCCAAAACAGTCTCCCCATCTCTTAGTTCCAGAGCCAGGACTGGGAGAAGAGAGGCAGCGTTGAGGAGGTAGTACCTTTTCAAGTATCCAGTCTGGTGTCGATCCGAAGGCATTCTGTCTGGAGTTCGGCTGAGGTAACACTTCATTGATTTAGGGTAATATGGGAAGGACCCTTGAAGGATTGGGTGATAACCCCTCAAATGTAAGTCCTTTTCCAGCTCAAGGGGATAACTGAATCGGTTGAAGAGGATGGCATATTGCCACAGTGATGGAGATATTAGAACATCCCTATGGCAGGAAAAGAGCAATGAATGAGTATAAGTATCACGACCTAGTGCAATCTTATACGATTAGTAGAGTGAACGTGGTCCTACGTTTACACTCCATTTTCCTGTGGCTTTTCAGACAGGATCTGTAATGGTTAATCTGGACTGCCACTGTTCCATGGCTGAGAAAACTCTAGATTTAGTAATGCACACTTCTGGATTTGTCTATGAGATGATTAGTTCATGAGGCTCTTACCTAATCAATAGATTAATCCCTGGTGGGTTCATATATTACGCTATAATTGTGGATGATGAACAGTTGAATGTGGGGCTTCGTTGGGAGATGGTAATCACTGGAGCTATGTCCTGGAGAGGCAAACTCTGCCTCAGCCCCTCCTACCCCCTTATCTGTATCCAGGCCTTGACAATGTGGGTAACTTTTTACACTTGGCTCTTACCACCCATCATGAACTGATACTTCTCAATCTATGAGCAAAGTAAATCTATTGCTTTCAATCATTTCCATAACTTAGTCTGTCACAGAAACACAAGCATCTGACTAATACAGGATTGGTCTCCCAGCTTTTCCTTTTGCCTCAGAAGGCTGAGATATAATCCACTCTGACTTTACTTACAAGTGCAATTTTATTTTACCTTATCTTAAGATTGTCATTCATGGCCGGGCGGTGGTGGCGCACGCCTTTAATCCCAGCACTCGGGAGGCAGAGGCAGGCGGATCTCTGTGAGTTCAAGGCCAGGCTGGACCGACAGCCTCCAAAACAATACAGAGAAACCCTGTCTCGAAAAACCAAAAAAAAAAAAAAAAGATTGTCATTCATGTATTAGGATTGGAGTCTGGGAAGAAAGCGGTAGATGAGAGAACTCCCTTTACAAACATGAGGATACACAGAAGCCAGGTACTAAGTCAGGGCAGACAGTGTTTCTAGTTTCAGTGACAGACTTTATTGAAGGCTGTAGGGCAGAAAGGCATAGAGGAAGACACTTGATATTTTGCTCTGACCTCTGCATGCATGTGCTCAGATACACATATCCATACAGGCAATGTGCAAACACATACTTACATGCATGCAGAACACAAAGATCACACACACACACACACACACACACACACACACACACACACACACACACGCACGCATGCACGCACGCACGCTAAACAAGTGTTCTCTGGTTTCTCAAACTGCAGAGCACAGAGGAATGCCTCACTTACCTTTGGTTCCATACCCACTGAAGTCTTGTCCTTCAAAAGCAGCCCGCCTAGAATTTACAAAACTTTGTACCTGCCAAAAAGCATTTTTGTTGGGGATGGAAAGATGGCTGGGTAATGGTTAAGAGTGGCTACTGGAGAGGACCAGTGGTTGTCAGGGGACCTAATTGCTGCATGAAATACAGCTCTCGGGAGGCAAAGCTGCTGGGGGAAGTCTGCATATCAGTCCATGAGTGGTATTTAAATCATTCCTGGCTCCGTATCATCTGAGCTGTATGGCATTAATACCTCATTAATCCCATCACTAAAGGGGCCCACATTCAGTTCTCAGCACCCACACAGTATCTCACAACTGTCTATAGCTCCATTCTTGGGATCCAGTGCCTCTTTCTAGCCCTGCAGGCTCCCAAACACAAAGGGTGCACATAAAAATGTGCAGGCTCCCACTCATACACATAAACTAAAATAATACTTAAAAATAAAGTAAAACTCAGTAATGGAATTAATGAGGTGACACAGGGCTCGGATGACACGGAGCCAAGGATGATGTGAAAACCACCCATGGACTGATATACAGAATTCCCAGCAGCTTTCCCTTCCTAGATCTGTAGTCTGTCCAGCAATTAGATTTCCTGACAACCACAAGTTCACTTCAAGCGACAGATGACGCAGCAGGAAACATTTAATTTATTTACTAGCTGACCTTTCTGGTTGAGTTATTTGGGAGCCTCATTAACCATGGTCAATTAAATAAATTCCTGCTCCTTCTCACCCTGAAGTTGCTTATGTGAGAAATGGCTGGATTGAAATAGAACACCTGTGACTCCTGCATGCCACGTGAATGCCAATTACACCTGAAATGTGGTCTGCTCTCACCTTTCACTGCCTCTCGCTTACCATGCACAGTGCATTTATTGGATTTACTTTGGCACAGGGGCCTACTTTTAGTTACTTATTCAACAGGACAGTTTCTTCTTTTTAGAAAAACGGGTGACGTATTTGTGAGTGGGTGCGCATGTGCAGAGTGTATGGTGCGCATGCGCAAAAGTGCTGGCGCAGACCTGCCTCAGTGCCCAGGTGGAGGCCACGGGACAACTTCTGAGAGTCAGTACTCACTCACTTCCCACCTTACCCGAGGCAGGGTCTCCCTCATTTCTGCCACTCCAGTTTCCAAGCAATTCTCCTTCGTCCACCTCCTATCTTGCTTTAGCACTACTGAAACTACAGACGTGTGCAGTAACACTCAGTGGATCTGAGCTAACGTCAGGCTTACTTAACAAGCACTTTTACCCTGAGTTATCTCCCCACCCAGCGCAAACAGTGTCATTTCCAGGTAGTACGATGATGGCTGCTTTCTGAGACCGCACTTTGAGAACTACGGCCTTAACACGGACACTGGAGTGAAATCAGGGAAGCCACTACCGACTTTCTGAATGTGTGTCTCACTCATATCCCACAAACTAGATGGACACTTGCTCAGTGCTGAGCCATGTGCAGGCGTCTGCGTGGGGTCCGGCGTAGCTCAGCTTACATCACCTCACTTCTCTTAAGAAACAAGGGGTGCTCTCTACTGTTCGGCTAGGATGCAGTAGCACTATTTTAAGAACCCCCAAAGCTATTCTTGAATTTTTATTCTTTCAAAGAAATTTTAGCAATGGATTGCTCAGTGCTCAGGTTAAAATAAATAAATAAATAAATAAATAAATTGTTGGGGATGGAGAGATGGCTCAGTGGTTAAGAACACTAGTTGGTCTTCCAGAGGTCCACAGTTCAGTTCCCAGCAACCACATGGTGGCTCACAACCATCTGTAATGAGCTCTGGTGCCCTCTTCTGGCGTGCAGGGATACATTTATTATATATACAAAACACTGTATATATAATAAATAGATATATCTTTAAAAAATTGTTGACTGGGATCTGTAATGGGTTCCAGACTAGACTGTGCTAGAGTGAGAACCTTCTCAAAATTAAAAAAAAAGAAGCAAGAGAATTATGTATACAGAAAGCTCAATAAAGATTGTATTAAAAGCACTAAACTTGGAGACAATTAACATCTTCATGGCATTCAGTCTTTCCAACCCAAGCCCAGTGTTTCCTTTTAAGATTTTGAGTTTTCTTAGTGTTATTAATTTTCTTTGAAGCATGTTGTCTAAGAACACTGTTAGTTTAGGAACACCCCTGTTATTTGTCTATTATCTAACATGCTAATTAAAACAAACGAAGTTCCAGAAGGAAGGCAGCAGCACATGCGCAGGCACCACATGTGTGAGGAAGAACCGGCATTAGGAGAGCCCAGTGGTGTTGGCTCGTGATAGGGACACAGGGGACATTAAAACATTGGGTTAGCGATATGAAGCTCTTCACAGACTTAAGGTCTGAAAATAGGCACTGTGGTGGCAAAAGAGCAATCTTCAGAAATTATTCTCCTTTATTTATGAACTAGTCAAAATAAAGTCTTATTAAACAAGTAAAATCGGGGCTCCTTGTGATCTATATCTAGACCTACAGAACTGTGTGATGGGGCCACTTGTGATCTATACCCAGACCTACAGAACTGTGTGACTTCCCAAGAAAAAGAATCTTTGAGACAGAATGTCACCATAAAGTCCAGACTGAACTCTAGGTTCACTTTCTGAGTGCCCAACATAAAGGGTTGCCCCTGAACGCTGCTGCTACATTAGAGGCATACATGGGAGAGGGCTAGAGAGTACAATCCTAGTGTACTCAGGCAGGCCTACTGCGTCAACAGTAGGAATAGCTTGCCCCATTGGAACAACCCAATGAAGCACTGCTAGGAGCTGCTGGGGCCAATGCATCTGAGCCCTGGAAAGTACTGCCATATATCAGTATAGAATTCATGCCTCCCCTGTGTACCAGCTTGTCACCTCTGCACATGGTAACAATGTTTCCTCTACACAACAGACATGGAGTCAGATCTCTCTGTCTCTGTCTCTGTCTCTGTCTCTCTCTCTGCAAGAACACTTATTATTTCTAGAGCACAGCTATAATGGATGGACAAATAGGGTTAGAAAATTCAAGGAGATAGATGAGCTGGGTTCCAGACTCCAGGCCCCCACCTGAGATTCACAACTACGAAATCTGAAGCTACTCCAGCTACTGGTCTCCACCGTCAGGAGAAAACCATGCATATCTGAAGACAGCTTGACTGGCACCTTCAATGTCAATGTCCTAGATACAACTGTTTATACACACAGAGTACAGCTTCTATCAGCTTTGGTCAGGGAAGCTTAGTTTTTTCAGTGGTCATAGACAGTGAAAATAGAAACTCATACCTGGCCAGTACTGAGACTAAACAACTGGTGAATATCTAGCTATAAATGGCATATCTGGATCATACTCTCCCCAAGGCTCAAGAGACGTTTTGGAAGAAGCAGAAGAAACCCATGTCCCAACTGATAACCTTAATGATACTATTTAGGTCACACACTCAGGCACTTACACACACAAATAAGTACATACATACACACACACACACACACACACACACACACACACAGAGGACATGAAAGTAGAAGTGAGGGTAGCTGGGAAGACAAATAATACTATCAGGAGTGGAAGGGGAACAGGAGAAGGTAACAATGGGGATGAATATGATCAACATATACTTCATGCACATGTATGGAAATGCCATAATGAAATCTACTGAGTACAAATAGTATATGTAAAACCCTGTCTCAAAAACCAAAACATAAATATAAGTAAATGCACAAAGTGAAACATGAATATTGGAGTGACAATGACACCAGTCACTGTTCACTTAAAGCTCAAATGC